AATGCCTTTAATGAATAAAATAAAGGTTTGTTTTGGTAATGGGATAAAATTTGTTAACAAGCAGGCAACTTTTATTTTTCAGTCATATTATTTCAACACTTTTCTATTAAAAATAAGGTGGGGATGAAGTCTGTCAGGCAACTTTTGCTATTTTCCTCTCTGAAAACTCACCTGGAATCTATGCAATAAGTATAGACCAGACTAGGTGAAGTGAGTGTCTTGAGAAAATACATTGGAAGAGCTTGTATACCTAAACTGTATATATTTAAGAAGTGCCTGTTGGCTGTGAGACCCTTGCTAGTAGGGCATTCAGTCTGCATAGATGCAGATTAGATGTGGGAATTCAGTGGCATAAACCAAATAATAATAAAGAAAACTTTAAACTCGTTAAAGTAATTGGAAAAAAAGTGGTTTTACTTGTCTGTTAATGCTCACTGCTTACAGAGAAGTGCTTCCAAAATTGGAAGGACGTGTTGAACAAATGAGCAGCAAACTTCTAAGTTTCATCTGCCCAGCAAAGGAAACATGTCACTTCTGCTTTCAGGCCTGCGCCTCAGGTGCTGTGATTCCTCTTACCAGTGAATCACAAAAATGAAAGGCAAGTTACAGTGAGAAAACAATGACCCCCCAAAGTACAAATAAAGACACAGATCCTAGAGATTTTCTTGGTTTGGGTGATTCAAAGTCACACTTGTACGAGACCCAAATTTCCCCTCTTTTAATAGCCTGCCGTCAAGTAGCTATGAATGTGATTTCTTCCCAGGGTGTGTGCTATTGCTATTTGTGGGAGAGAACTTCTTGAAAAGTGTCTGTGCTTGGATGAGAAGCACAATTATTTTAATGTCTATGAGTTGTGGCAAAATAGAAATACAAAACATGTAAAGGCTACCACTGTGCATCCCTAACAGCTGAGGCAGTCCAAGTCAGCCACACACACTCATAGAAATCAGAGGAATCTACTAATAAGTTATTATAATGCAGATGTTTTCAACACTACTGTTGCTATAATCAGACTTTTAAATGAGTTCCTCTCCTTTCTCCCATACATTTCCTCTGTATCTGAGAAGACATCCTTCTTATGGGAAAGCCCGTTTTCATATTAAAAGCTCCCTCAATCCATGAAACTGTAAAAGCTAGGATGATTATACCATTGAACAGAATCTTCTGTACACACTGTCATACTCTTAACTGTGTAAATTGACTTAGTGTCATTGACTTTAATGGCCCTGTGTTTGCAAAACATTTATGTCAACTGTGAATCTGAGGCACTGTATTAAATTCATTACAATGTGAGCTAACTATGTAGGGACTATATTTACACTTTGGATGATCCTGTGTAAATACATGAGGAAAACATTTCCAGGAAGCTCCCCATTTAGCTTTTTAAAGAGGTCCAATTACTCTGTATTTCATTAAAATTACCTACTCAAAGAATTAAGGAGAGGAAAATAAACAACCCTTGGGGCTCATGTTTGTGGTGTATCTGCCACAGAAAGTCACAGGAGATACCTTGAGGTCCTGTGTCATTGAAAAGGATTTTTGCCTTAGTGAACAGAGTTCAAGCTTTCATTCACAATGAAGAAGGAGCATATGATGGTCTCACAAATATATGTAGTATTATGAAGCTCAAATAGACAGTCAAAACAGCGAATCCCTTGAGTTTCAGAGGAATAGGGAAAACAGAAGTGAGTTTTTGGATGTGGCACATTTCTGGGGTTTACTTCAGCTTTTTGGTTGTAAGGGATGTGTGTAAGTCTAGTGCATTAGACTGATGTAAGGAAAGGATGTGTGGGTACAGAAATGTCTGACAGATGGGAAGTGCCTCGGGGATCTAGGGTCAGAGGATAACTGATTGCTCATACATTATCTACTAAAATACATAAATAATTGATGTTTTAGTCTCTACAAAATTAGTGAAGAGCACATAGGTTGCCAGTTCTGGGCAATATATGGATTCCTGAACCAGCTGTTAAGATTTTAGAGCTAGTATTGAATGATCTTTCTATTAAAAATTAAGATATTGGACACTCCCTAATTTTAACTATTGCATAACAATTGGAAATTATAAGAAAATAAAAGCAGTGGACTATTATACAGAAACACATTAATTTTCTGGAATGAATAATGATACTTTTGAATTACATGACAATTTGGATATTACCTCGTTTTCATAGAATGCTTATGAAAATTAAGCAAAAAAGAGCACAACAAATGCTTCATTGGGAAGGACTCTAGTCAAATGGATAGCAAAAGAAAATATATGCAAGCCAGATGATAATTTCAGACCTTAAAAACAATTAAAAGCCATTATGGTAGAAGTAGTCTCTGCAGCATTTGGGGCAGTATGGAAAAAACCTAAAGATGCTGCAAGTCATACTCTGTGTTGCAAAAGCTGAGCTGTGACTAGGGTTTCCACTAATAGTTGATAGCCAGAGGAATTATAATATCTTGACAGAAAGTAGTTGAATCAAATAGAAAGTTCAGGTCTTCATGCTTTCCTTTTCAGTTTTCTTTGGATTTTCTCCTCCTGTGTCCCTATTTGAACGTGGGAGACGGGACCTGTAGGTGCAAGGACTCTGATAGCGTCTGTAAGTAGGGAAGAAGGCAAGGGTTGGGTTTGGGTAGTGTTTTACCACCATTGTCAAAGATGTTAAAAGATAGTACAGGAAGTAGTTCCCATTTGGTAGCATAAGAAGATGTCTGACAGTTTGCTGCACATGAAAAGAGTTGCTGCACACTTTCAAATTGCAGCCTCAACCTTTTCTTCAAAAGCTGCTTGCTAGATCTCTAGTAATCCCAGCAATGTTCATTCAATGAGGGTTTGGGGATTCTGTTTCATGCATGGTAAAGCAGAAATATGTTGGTATGTTTGCAGTTTTTTGGGGGTCAGGGTTCTTGACTTGTATGCACTCAACTGGTTAGAACACTTAATGAAAAATACAGCTTTCTACTCTCTAAACCCCAACTGTCCCTATCGTGCTGTATTGAATAGGAAAATAGGACAGAACTTGATTTTTCCGTCAGAATCGTAACCACGTGTGCATGTAAAGAAAGGACATTACCTTCACACCAACCTGTGAGTTTATACTCACAGTTTACCTTACACTGAGACACATTGGTAATACTGAATATGTTACCGAGTGTCCCTACACCAGTGCAAAGTAGCTAATGCTGTTTTTTTGCCTCTTGAAGACTTCAGTTTCAGAAATCTGTGGCTGTTTTTAGCTTGGATCTCCTAAGAAGCCATAGAGTTCACAACGCTGAAAACATGCTACTGCAGTGCATAGTCTGTGTACAATTCAGAGATGAAATATCATCTCTGCTTCCCTCCTGTGTTCAAAAATATTTTGCCCTGGAAACTCCTGCTGGGCTGACTCATCTTTATCATAGAATACAAGAGTCATTTGGTTGTGATGTCCAGGTTTTTTTTTAAATGTGTGTCATATGATTTTTGTCTTTGATATTTGTTGACGGAAAAGATTGCTGACCTAGTTCAATCATGCAAGTCTCTAAATATCCTGTTGCCTATGATTCAGAAGCACAGTTTTTACTAAAGACATCCTACTAGTGGCTGAAGGTGAAAATTATTTATGTAATTCTGGTGGCTTATGGGAAAACTGGATAAATAACAGTTTAAGTATATTGTTAACCAATTTCTTTATGTAATTGAAATACTTTTGCATGCCAAATAGCTAGGTAGTGGCATACCAGATTTTATAAAGAGGTTACTCTGCTCCATCTGAAAGTATCATACTTTCCATGTGGCACTATCCAGATAAAACTTTAAGAGAAAAAATAAAATAAAATAAAGCAGTCATAGTCCTCTCCATTATAATTGGAACCTGTCAATTTTAAAGAAATACAGGCTTCATGCATGCTATCGAAAGATTTAGCCTGAAAATCTTCAGGATATATTGATCTGAAATGTTTTTAAGATACTTTCCACTGCATATGTAGTAATTTCCATGCAGATATAATCCTAGAAAATACAATGGAATAATTCATACTAATTCCAGATGTAAAGAAGCATCAAGTATGTGAGTAGTTTTATCAATGTCTACCAAGTGTGACTTTTCATGTAAAAAGTTAAAACTAGATCTTCATCTTTCTTGTCCTTTTTGTAGAAGTAATTCAACAAGTTGTTGATGAACATTCTGAAAAAAAAATAATGTTTTAAATCTTAAGATTTACTGTGAACTGTATTTTGAGGTATCTTGCAGATATTTTGACAGATGGCTGTGGCAACAATGTTCACATGTAGATTGTAGAATTAAAAATGGGGGAAAAAAAGGAAAGAATTGTAACTTGCAATAATTTATGGTTCACATTATCAGTTACCAAAGCATGAAAATTTTAAACAGCCAGTTTCACAAAATGAATATTTTATTTTTTTTAATAATTCTGGAAACTTAGCACAGTAAACTACATCAAGGATGATTTTAAATCATCAACAAAATAGTTCTGTTTTCTTAAAAGTATTGTAATAAAAAAAACATATTTTACCAATTTTATTTTTTAAAATCCAAGTTAAGAAATTGATTCTGCTAAAGTTTCTTAAATGATGAAATGATCTCTGGGGTTTTAAACTGTTTGTTTTCTTGACTTTTGAAATACACTTTTAATTGCTAAGAATAGCATAGAAGACCAAATATGGTAAATAATATATCTTATTCTGGGCAAAATCCAGCCTTGAAGTTAGGCTTGTCTTTCAAAGACAGGGAGAAACAATTAAATGATGCTTTCACTTTACTAGGCTGATTAGAAGCAATTCAAGTGCCTTAAGTGATGTAAAGCTTTAAATCTATTGATTAAATTTGCATCTCTTAATTTAGAGATGATCATCCATGTGGAGTGCAGCCCAAGCTGCAGAATCTTTCACTACTTAAGTATTGATTTTTAATATGTCAAAGGTACTAATTAAAATTTATCTTTCTTAGATTTAATTTTGAATATTAATATTTGCTCAAATTTTAACCACCAACATCTACAATATTTTTCAGGATTATAAGGGTCATCATGTTGCTCCAGTAGACAAAGAAAGAAAGAGGAAGCAGCTGCTTTCAGTTCAGAAGAACATGAAGACTGTGCTGCGTAACATATAAATGCAGAAAAGGTCAAAAAGACTGGTTTAGTTGAATGCCACAGTTCTGTCACTTCATGGTACTGACCACATCCAGTCTTGATTAGTTCATTTCGTAGTAGAGAACCATGAATAAATGGGTTGAATAAAACACTTCTGGCATTACATCCCTTTGAGTTGCAGTCTCACAGAGCCGCACTGTGTGTTCACCTGCTTTTGTAGTGAGTTCATACTCAGCAACACCTGTTTGGAGGGTCTTCCTGGCAATCTTGGACACTTTCATGATTAGAGAATTATTTACACCATTTAATCTTGGCTATTTAGATCTGTTTTCCTTGAGACAAAAACAACATGGCAGAATTTGACTTTCGTATGATCATCTTCAAGACCTTTCAAATGTTTCAAGATATACAACATTATTGCCTTTTGAGGTACAATTTCTCCCTCTCCTTGGAAACAGAGATTTGGCATGTTAAGGTTGGCTTGGTTTTTTTTTTTTTAAGATGATAGGGCATATTTCAAATTATTTAATATGAAGTAAAACATTATTGCCCTCACCTAAAGAAGGAAGGCGGTAGAATTATCCCAGTTTTATAAGTAACCAAATATACTTTGCTCTCATATGAACCCAGGTCGTTTTCAAAAGTGAAGCAAGCATACTCTCAAAAAACTGTCTAAATGCATACAGTACGTTCTTCAAGTATAACTGTCTTTTCCAGTCCTTTATTCTCTGTGAAGAAACAATTGACTCATGGAATGTACTGTATGGATATAGGATACTCAGTTTAAACAAGGACAGTTTAAATGAATAAAATATAAATGAAGATTGTATTACATGAGAAAATAAGAAACGTGTTGTTCACTGTCACATGAAGGACATATGAGGAATAGAGTCTATAAAAATGCATAGATTATTTAGTGAAAATTAGAGTGGACATTGGTATAGTGTTTATTCTTTACTGATATGACCCAAATAATCTTACTGAAAGATTCCTATAATGACTAGAAAATAAAAATCATAGAATCATAGAATGGTAAGGGTTGGAAAGGACCTTAAGATCTTCAGGTTCGAACCCGCCTGCTATGGGAAGGGGTGCCTCACACTAGAGGCCTGGCCATGAATACAGACAGGGATGGAGCATTTACCACTTCTTTGGGCAACCCATTCCAGTGCCTCAACACCCTTACAGTAAAGAACTCTTTCCTTATACCTCACCTGAATTTCCCCTATTTAAGTTACACCTCTTGTCCTATTGCTACAGTCCCTGATGGCGAGCCCCTCTCCAGCACACTCATAGGCCTCCTTCAATACTGGAAGGCTGCTGAGGTCTCCACACAACCTCTCTTCTCCAGACTGAACAGCCCCAACTTTCTCAGCCTGTCTTCATACAGGAGGTGCTCCAGTCCCCTGACCATCCTCATGGCTCTCCTCTGGACTTGTTCCAACAGTTCCATGTCCTTCGTATGTTGAGGACACCAGAACTGTACACAGTACTCTAAGTGGAGTCTCATGAGAGCATAACTGAGGGGCAGGATCACCTCCTTCTACTGGTCGCACTTCTTTTGATACAGCCTTTTGATACAAGGGGATAATGTATTAGTGAACAAAAATGTTACAATTTATGTACAATGCTACAATTTATGTAACAAACAGCTAAATAGTAAAGCTTATTAAAAAAATATTGTCTTCCTGCCCTCTGAGCTGTTTGGTGATATAGCAGCAGTGATTTAGATGTCCTAATTTAATGCAAGATGAAATAAACTTACTTATTTCCATTGACTGTAACGAGCATCCAGCCAACTAGCTTGAATGTACATGCCTATATTGCACAGGTCAATACTTGGCAGATGAAATTATCATCTCCTATAATCCCAACTAATTGAACACAGACCCAACATCAATGACCAGTTTTGGAAGAGCTCAGAAATACAGAAAGAAGAAAAGCCAATCTTCTGCTGTCACTTAATGAAAGCCTCAGACTACACTTAGATGCAGGGTGGATGGACAGGTCCTGCACATAGTTGTGCATGCTTAGCATTTGATTCTTATGCTGGAAGACCTTGTGGTTATGTCAGCAATGGGCAGACACAGAAATAGCATTTCTTCTTTAAAAGGTCTGATGTTGCATATGTCATAGGATTTCAGGAGACTCATGACTGGTTAGCCAGGGCTGTTCTGAGAGCCCTGGCATGTCACCCTGTCTTGGATGCCCTGGGGAGTCAGAAGAGAGCTGGGCCAGATGCTATACTTTTCCTCATTGCAAACTTGCACTCTGTAGAGTCATATAGGCAAACGTGAGCGTGGGTGTAACACCTTAAAGCTCTGCTTCTATAATTGTACAGTCTAAAATAGAGTTGCTGTGACGGCAGGTGGACTTCACTGTGCATTTCTGTTCTGTTTAAAAATACTTTGTATTCAAACAAATCACAATGTAGTTTTTATTGCTATTAGAAAGCACGAAATAGAGAATTCTACCTAAAATAGACTCCAACTTCTTTTATATTTAGCCTAAAGTGAATCTTCTGTAATGAAAGGTTTGGCTGAAGACTTGAAGTACATGTAAGTGACACATTTCTCTCAATCATAACATTCATCATTTTCAATCGGTAATATGCATGTTTCATTTGAAAAATGCATAAGATGCTCAAACCCCTTGATTACTGAGGAATTCTGTGCAGAGAATTTATGATATATGTTTTCAGGCTTGTGAGTAAAGCCTAAATCCCTGCTGTGCTCAAGTTTATATCACTGTATATGCTTTTCTAGTACACACCAGCAGAATAAGATATCTTTACCTTCATGTATTTAACACTTATCAAACAAGTCATTTAGCCTATACTAAAAGCACTGAAGGAAAAAAAACCCACTAATTGATAACATCATAATAAAACAGAGTTGCACTTAGAGCAAATAACAATCTGTAAGTAATAGAATAGTCATGCAGATCATAGGTATGACTGCTGACTGGGGAGTAACGGTTATATGGACACTCTGCAATTATGTGATTAGAGGAAAACATTTTTAAATGCTGAAAGCTGTATTTGTATTCTTGTTCAGTCACTTAAAACACTTTCCTAATTTTTAGAAAAAAATCCAAGTGTGTGTCTGCTGTAAAGAGAATTGAAGAAGCTGAGCATTTTCCTAAAAATTGAATTTCACATGATTAGCAGCTAGAACCTAGCAATAAAATCACAGATGTGAAAGAGGAAATGTTTTCCAAGTAAGCAATATATTTAGAAAAAAGGGATGGATTTAGTAGACACAGTAAGGATTCTTTCCTGTAAAGCCCACTACATATTTGCATATTGTGGGTGATATTCACCTGGTTTATCTAATTTCTAATCTATGTTTCAGCTGCTGTATGAAAAAAAACCTTGGTGTCCTCAAGAAAAACAGCAGTAGTTCTGCTTTGGTTATTCCAGCTCTCTCTAGTCTTATCACCTTGCCAGACAGCAGGAATCCAAAGATCTCTCAGGTTTGCTATGCTGATAATTTTGCAGGGAAGTTGAGCAATAAAAAAAAAAAAAAAAAAACCACAACAAAAACCAAAAGATCTCAAATTGCTTTAAAATGCACCAAGCAGTCTCCGGGCTATTTTTATACCAAATCCTCATTTTAAAATTGCAATAGATATGCTTTATACACTAGAGACTGAAAAGAGATACCAGAGATGCAGTTTTGACTCTCCCTTGATGTGGGAATCTCATTTTGATAACTAGATGTCTTAGGCCTCTAACTTTCTGTACCTCTCTCTTTCTTAGTACTCTATTCTATTTATATTCTCATTTTCTAATCTACGTTTCCATTTTCTTCTGCTTTCATTCTCTTCAGTCACATGCAAATATTTGTGTTACCTCGAAGAAGGCAAGGCTTTGATAATTCTGTCTGGTATAGATTTCCTCTTCTCATTATGCTTCTTCTGAAGTTTAACAAGCAAGAAATACTGTCATTTAGATAGCTACTAGGGCCAAGTAAGTGTCAATGCTCTCAGCAAACATAGCTGGTAGCATGGTAACTGTGATGGAGAATAAATGACTCTCTGATACAAATGAAGCTATGCTACTTGCATCCATTTTAAGTTACTACTTTAAGTTACTACAAGTTACTAAATCACACTTGTAGTCATGACAAGCTTTTATTAATTTTACTTTGGTTTAACAGTTTTCAGCTCAGACACCAAGAAAATGATCTAATTACTTAGAGGAGTTGCTTATGTAGACTTAATTCTAGACTATCAATTTATGCTGTCTGCAGCACCTGCAGCAAAATCTTGTTCTGCTAACTTCCAAAAACTTAGTGCTGCAGAGTTTAGTGGAAATGGTGGATGTATTAAAAGCATTTGAGAAAATGCATTACATGCTTTGTAATACTTCTGCCATTGCTGAGAATTTTATGACTTTTCAGGATTTCTTCACATATTCTGAAACAGGATCTTTTGATAGATCTACAATAAAAGCTCCCTCTGAACAGCAGAGTTGAAAAGTTACCTGAAACATGGATTATTCTGTAAACTAAGGCTAGTCTCTGTCTTATTCCAACAAGCTGTGTGAAAATCCTGTTTTCTTCTTTTCAAAATGAAGGAAATTAAATGACATAGGAACACTGTAGGAAGAAGGTCTGTAGGACACAAGTGAAAATAAAGAAGATAATTGAATGTACCTTGGAAAAAAAAACAATATAAAAAGTTCTGAGCTAGAGATTTTTTATAAAGCAGCACACACAAAGCAGGTGTAAAGAGGCAGGTGCCTAGAAAGCTGTGATATTTTAAATGATGGTGGAAAAACACATGTGGACTTCATTTTTCTCTTCAGAGGTGCTCTTCTATTCTTTCTCTGGTTTGTATTTGCAGATCTCCAAAATGACAGTAATTTCTGAGGGGCCCAGGCATTTCCAAAACTAGAAAGATATCTTGGAATAATTTGTATCATAAACTTAAGCCTCTGCCTTACTTAAAGTCTGAGATAAGTACTTGAGCTCCTGGCACTGCATGGACACAAATGCTATTTGTGAGAAGGGCATCTGCAAGTCATGGGCCCTTCACATGAAAATCAGCGCTGGGCAATTAAGCAAACTTTCCCTGCCAAGTTTGTTCAAACTTTTCAATGATCTTGATTCCCTTCTTCCTCTGTGGTTTCCAGAGAACGATTAATTGTTTATTTTGGGGGTGTCTGTTTCCTGTGTGTGGTGATGTGAGGTGGCACAACACAACCCCGGTTTTAGCTGGGTAGGAAGACGGGAGTTCCCAAAGATAACATTTCTGTAGATGGATTTCTTACTTCTTTCATTTATTCTTCAGGGTCCAAGACTTTGCTAAACATTTTTCTAAAAGTGGAAGTTTCTTCCACTTTTAGAAAGTGAAGGTATGCTACATATCTCAACAGAGTCCTTACGCACTGTGCGTGCTTTACTTTTGTAACTCCTTAATCCTCTGTGACATGCAGCATGTTGATCACAAAGAGGCACCACCTCCTCTGAAGACCAGTGTTCAGCTCCTCAAAAGTGTTTATATGTTCCCACTGAAACGATAGGAAGTTAATTGCCTTAATCCATCTGGACTCATATGCTGTGCTGTACTGGCCATGTTGAAAATAATGGGACCACATTTTAACAGCATGGTTTTAGGCATGTGTGAAAACCATGGGCAGCTCTCCAGGTACTCGGATACTACAGTGACAGAGGATACATAAGCACTTGCTTAGGCAATTGAACAGGTTTCAAAAGCAAGGCCTCCAAAATGTATCTTTTATAATATATTGCTGCTTTTTAACAGCTTGTTGTTGAATAGATTTTTAAACCTGCAGCATATGAATAATGCAAATAAGGAAATGTTGCACACTAATGTTGATTCAGTAACACTTTGCATGCTCATTAGCTAGTGTGCATTATAATTGAACTCCTACATGTGACAGCCACATGAATGCCAAATGAAACCGTTATGATTAATGCTGTTACAACGAACACCAAATGAATTTTTAATGACTGAACACTTACCATTTTCTCTTCCTATTAATTCTGTGGCAGGCAAAGTTTTGATTATTTTTAAAAATTGGATTTGAAGCAGTGATATGGATGGCTTGTGGTATTGTAACGTAGAACATGCTTAACTGGTGCTAAGTCATTTTACAAGCCATTTTTGTTGACTGTTTAAAAAAAGCTACAGGTAAAAAACCCTGTTTTTCTAAAACCTGATAATAAATGAAGAATATTCACTTGCTCCTCTTATGAGATTCACTTAGCAGCGATCCATGGATACTAATCAGACATCACAAGGAAAGGGAAATGGGGATGACTGCTAAAGCAGTGATTCATTTTTATTTCTTTTTGGATTTTGCAAACTGTGGCTCTGGAGTGATGGAAAAAATAATTTATTTTTTTTTTTGTTATTGGATGGAATGCCACATGAATAAACAAACAAAATATTCATACTTTAAATACAAACTTTGTTATTTGTTCAAGTGAGCAATGCTTCCACAAAGTCTGTTAGCCTTACAGCACTATTTATCTGCAGGGAGCAGCTGTCATTAATGCTGCCATATTATCTCATATGCATAGTAATTTGCTTTATAAATGGAGACGGACCTATTTAGGGACGTGTTTGCTGGTGACTGCAAGAATTCTACAGCCAGGTCCATGCTGAAACACCACCCCATCTAACATAGCAACCCTTAGTGCAAAGGGTAAAACCTCCTTTCAGGCTTCAGACATTTTTATATTTCACAGAGAGGCAACTAAATCTGAAACTGCATCTACTGGGCTTCTGGAGGACACAGGGGAGGACTATGTTCACAGTTGAAAATACTTATGTAAAGTTATTTTCCTTGTGCTTTCATGAGTTATTCTAAATGTCCTGTGAGCCACATGCCTGTGGATTAGCTGCTCTCTTGTGACCTAGGTTGTATGAACGTCAAGAAAAAGAACACAGGTTTGCTCCTGAGTTCAGTAACACCAAGCTATCACTCCTTATCTTTTACTTTTCTTGGAATTCAATCTCTAAATGGGTATGAAAAGTTGTAGTGTTTGTCTCTTTATATTTATTGCAAGAGACTATGAAAATAAAATTATATGAGCAAGAATAAGCGGTTGCTGGCCAAGTATTCTGTGAGAAACGGCTGTAAATTAGGAAGAAAGTTGTGTTCCATAAATAACAGGCTAACTGCAGAGAGCAACAATGCCACTCTTCACAGCAGCAGCAGAAATGCATGGTGGTAACAAGAGAGGAAAGAACTACCAGGGTTCTCAGGCAAAAGGAACGAAAGGTCAGACCTGGCTACTCCTATGCATTCCCTTTCCACCCCTGCCTTCTTTCCTGGCTCCTGCAAGCTTGCTCAGGGATTGTTCTGGGGTACCAAATACTTCCGGGGGGGGGAATGGAGGGGGGATGGGGGATTGAAGCAATTTTTGCCTGTGTTTGCTTTAGACACTGCATGAATTTTAAACCAAAATGGAAGAAAGCACTTTGTGTTTCAGCCATTGAGGCTTTTCAAGTGTAATGTTTCTAACATCTCCCATTTTGCCCCAACCTCCCTCAATATGCTACCTGAGTCACATCTCTATCACGTTATAACTTTGATATTTTTGCAGTTGAAATTCATCCAAAGAAGAACATTCATGACACAGGTCGGTCAAAGTGAGTCTGGTTCACAGGAATTAAATGAGTAGAACCAAATCAGAAGGTACTCTTGTGATCCTGCTTACACAGACGAAAATTATAGTCTTGTTTTAATACTACAAAAAGAATCAAGTTCCATCAGATAATGCATATTAACTGCAGATTGAGTCTTTTTACATGCAGCATACAACACATGGGTCTGAGGAGGATGCAATCTGAATAGCAAGATAGACAGACAGACAGACCTGACAGGACTGTTTTACGAAGGTGAGGACTTTGCACAAGGTCACAAAAAAGTCTGCTGCTGAAGACCTTGCCCTTCCCAGACCTTGTTCCATATCTTATGCATGAAATAGCCACTCTCTTCTTATGCGAACTCCAGGCATTTTTCTGACACGGTTTAAATTTTATCTCTGCTCTACATTGCAGTGTTTTGAAAAACTGCAGTTATGGGTGGGCACAAGGATATGTACAAGGTGCATACCTTGGGTAAATTTGGAAAGAGCAACTTTTATTTATACGTACCAGAAAGTGCTTGTAAACTTCCCCTGCAGAGTTATTTTGGTCTGCTAGCACAAATTTGTCAGCTGCTGAGAGATATTTCTGTGAGCTGAGAGGAGGATGCTTTTCTGGGCTGGAGCGACACGGGCGCAGACCAGTGGACTTCCCGCTCTGGGGGCCCCTGAGGACAGGAAACCTCCCAGCATCAGCAGGGCTTCTCTCCCAGATCTGGGGTTTGGGCTGCTGATCATCCAGCACTGGCGGTGCAGCTCTGAAAGAAGCAGAGGAGGGCAAACACTGGCATTTATTTTCTCTTTTAGCTTTGTTTTCCTAGAGGGATGGAGCAATCAAAAGATCAGTGGAGCTACCCTGAATTTTTGAATATTTATATCATGCTCACTTCCCCTGACAGTGCGCCTATGCCTTTTCAGGGGCTTGTAGACACTTAACAAATGTTCTCAGTATTATCTTCTTTTCTTTTATGCCATGTACTTTATTGTGCTCTTTAACTTTCAAACAGTTTCTAAAATACTATTGGTTTGGACACCTTGTTAAGCCTCCTGTAGTAATATCTGCTTCCTATTTCAAGTTTTTCTCTTAAAAGGTGACAGTGTTTCATCCTATGGTGAACTTGTGTGTCTTCTGTCAAACACAAGAGATCTAAATGAACCATCCAGACAAATTTTGGTATTCTGTTACACCTAATGGTGCTATTGGTTTGCTGACTTTTTTTCTTTTTTTCTTTCTTTTTTTTTTTTTTTGTTTTTTAGAAATGACCTGGCTCTGCTATCATAATTTGCAGTATTGATTCAGAAACTAGCAACCCTGTTAATCTTTAAGTTCCATACCATCACTTTTCCTGTTAGCTTACATAGAAGGAACTTAATTTTCCACAACCTTCATAATGTTGTATAGAAATTATGAGAATTATTTTAACTCACAGTGTAAAATAGTATCTGCTTAAACTACCTCTTGTAAATCATGAAATCTTCTGAGACTGTTTTTGTTTTTTGGTTTTTCTTTTCAGTATTTTCTCATGCAGAACAATTATTTCTTTGTTAAGTACATGGAAAAACACATACGCTGCTATTGAGGAAGGGTTAGGAGAGAAATGTGCATTGCTCTTCATTAAAAAATGGCTGAGCCTTGCCACGTGCAAAATAAAGTCCTTTGCTGCATTCGAGGTTAAAGGTGTCAGGAGGTATACGTCACTCCATTCTTTTAAGCTCTAGAGTTAATATAGGTTTCTGTACCCAGGTTTGAGTGAGATCCAGGGAACAAATAAGAACCCATTTTATACAGACAAGTTGTAAGAGATGGATGAAGATAAAGAATGAGCAGAAGCAGAATTCACCAGCATACCTGATGGTACAATGACATTGATTTTTTTGGTTCATGTATCACCCCAGGTACAGATATATGTCACTTCATTTCTGTACAGCATGATGGAAAGTCTATGAAGGATATTATGACTTTTTAAGTCACTATCTCTCAGCCAGGTTGCTTTGGGGACAAAGCCCATGAGCTTGATAGCAAACTGACCCTCCTGCCCTCAGCTAGATGAGCTGTCAGTTAAAGGATGACAGTATTGCATAAACAGTTTAGTTAGTCCTGTATCTTGTCTGCACTGGGGTGCTGTGTCAGCTTCACCTCTGTGGGGGAGAGAAGCCTGTGAGCCCTTATGGCTAACACTACCTTTCTCAAACAGCTGTAGTGCAGAAGTTAAATACCTAGTGCCTCCTACAAGGTGTAAATCTAGATTTTTCCCTCTGTACCACAAATACTCTGTTCTAGTCTGTTGTCTCTAAATCTTGCCTAGATACTGGTTATGAAGCTATTGACAAGTAAGAAGAGCAGGTTGAATTTCAGATAGTCTTAGAAGATCTTAAATGTTCCTTAGGGGTCTGACCCTGCGTCTCTTACCCTTGTAAACCTTTTCTTTTGTTTATCCTAGTAGACCCATGAGGAACTATGCCTAAAGACAATGCATATGATTAAGAAGTGCAGGACCAAGGCTGTGTTTTTTGTGACACAATGTACTGTTGCCAGTAGTTCACATCAACTCATATAAAAAATGGAAAATCCTGGTGTATATCAAGCATTGAATTTTCACAGTAAATCAACAAATCAAAGTAAAATCAGATCTCAATTACCCGCACAAGATGTACTCTTGTTGATGTTGTTCAGAACATGTATTTTATTGCCTTGCAAACATCTGAAAGGAATTCAGTTTTCAACAACTTCAGGCTTTGCTATGACATAATGGCTTAGTTTTGTAACAAGCTGAAATACTGACTGTCACAGAATTGACTGTCAAACTGAACTTTCTGAAGTTTGTTTTGTTTACAAATTAAAACTGTCTTTCCATTTTCAGCTCTGCAAACAATACCTGTGTTCTGAGAAATACATACTTTGAAAACTGTCTGTGTACTGCAACATGAAAAAGACTGCTTCTATATATATTGTTATTTAAATATAGGACTAAAAGGAAAAAGTGCAAGACACGGGTTAGCTTATCTGCAATAGAAGGCATTTCTTCTACCTTTGATGTATGGATGTGAAAAGAAAGTGTCATGAAGTGTAATTTTGAAATAATCTAAATGGTACAACAGATAACAACATTATTTAAATATGTAATTAATTTTGCTGAAAATCTCAAATATGAATAAATAGATACCTTTAAATGTCTCAAGAATGAAGTCATATGACCAGCTCTTGCAAACAAGGTACAGGTGCTCTTCTTCCATTGCAACTCCTGGAATGTCAGTTGTGATATAATACACAAGTATCAAAAAGTAAATATAAACTGATGTTGCGTCATGGAGTTGAGCTTTTATTTATGGAAAGAATTAGAAAGCTAATTATAAAAATACTCCCTTGTGTGTGAAAGGCCACTGACACAAATGGAAGTTTCACTTGTTTTGAAGAACATTAACTGAGTAATATCTCATTCTTTGTCTTTCAAATGAGACTTAACTTGGTTTGCATTCCATATTGTTTATATACAATTGTTTCATTCACATACAGGTCCATCTTGATTGATGGCCCCTTATCAATAAGGGCTGTAAGAACACTTTTTAGAATTTCAACCTGTAGCAGTGTATCAAAATGTATGACTTTTCTGTCCAGTGCTTCAGGAGCATATTTAAAAAAACAGACGTCAGAAACAGATGTGATTTTTGACTGGTGTTTTAGTTGAATATTTTACGTTCTTGAACCTCTCTTTGCTATAACATTAGAAATAAATGCATCTGACTGCACTGGTGTATCAGACAGCAGCATCTAGTTAGGGGCATTGCTAGCGGAGGAGGGTGAATTCTATTGTTTACTTCAGGTTTAATCTGGGGCCAACATATTTTTTCTTCTACAACATTGTTTGTTTGATTTGTGTCATTGCTAGGGATTACTAGGAAGAACATACATACTTGTGCTGCAGCAAGCTGACAGGTCACTGGCTCATGCAGTTCTCAAGCACTGTACCATAATTTTCCAAAACAGGTTTCTTGAGGAGATGTAAAACCAAGGAAAGATGCACAAACATATGGTAATCTTATCAAATGCCTACACTTACAACTACAGGAGGAAAGGCATTTTCTGTGGAGAGGATACTGAAAGGCAGTCGTTTATTGCACATCATCAGCTTGAGCCATCTAAATTTTTCCACAGTAGGGAATCTGATCTAGAGCATATGGTGAGTTCACATGGAAAAGCATGATAGACTTAAAATGGCAGTTTTTAATTAGCACCTTATTAGTGTTCAGGTGCTAGCCATGTTTAGCAACATCATTAAGTATATGGGCTAGATTTTTTCATCCAGAATGGCATTACACCTGCTTAAACACATTTTGCTACCTGAATTTGTATTGACTTTACTAATGGTGGTAGAGGGTACTTGGAGCTTTTACAATGCTAAAGTACACTATACTTTTGAAATCCTTGACCTATCTTTTGGCAGACTGGAAACTAAAGCAAAAAAATCTATGCTAATGTACTACAAATGTTCTCAGACTGCTTTTTTTTTTTTTTTTTCCCACATGTAATTTTTAGATAAAGTATCTAAACTTGCCTGAAGTTTGACAAAGATAATTGCAGTACTGTTGCTAAGTGTTCTCTGTAAGCAATTTGTATTCTTTACATACACAGTTACAATTAGAGAATAAAAAAGAAAAATTACTTCTTCTACTTAGATGTTTGAAATATTTTTTTCCAACATTGATTTTATCAAAACAAAGATTATGGTACTTACGATTTATCCTGTCATACTCACATCACAGGTTAGGAATTATAGGATGAATAGGGATGGAGGAAATGTTATTGCCTTACAAAAGGGGCCCTGAAACACCAGAAAGGTAGTATCAATATAAAGAAGTCTTGATTTGCCTGAACGTTTTACCTGCTAGTCATCTCTAGACTGTTCAATTAAACCATTTCTCAAGGTACATTCTAGCTTTCCATTTGACATAAAAAAGAAAAAAAAAATCACTGTTAATAAAATTGTTGTAAACAAAAGCAGCACAAGAGCACTCTGTCCAGTGGCAGATAACAAGTATCTAAGATTTACTATATAGTAACTGCATTGGAAGACTAGTTCCACCAGCAAAATTATGTTTTTGCTGAGTAAAAGCATTACACACGAACTTCTAAGGCACTAACTGTTTTGGGGTGTTCATCGTTGTACTTGCCAGTCCATTTAAATCTAAAAACCTAAGGTATTTAACAGTCTTTTGTTTAGCCAAAATATCTTCAGTTATTCGGGATGGGGTATGATTTTTACCAGGTAATAACCAGAGAATAAGGACATTAGCTGTAAACCTTGTAGATGGCTCTTTAGGAAGCAAGATGATTTAAAATGCCTGGGCGCCTGAATGCCAAGCCCACCTAATTACTATAGGCCCTTTCTGCTTGATATGTGTGAGAAACAGAAGCTGATGGAAAGAGACAGAAAAAAAGATGCACAAGTAAAGGTCATCAGAAACTGTAAGTTTGTCTTTGGCTAACTGAATTGTAGATGGTTTCCACTGATTTGCATGTCGTAAAATGCACTAGCAAAGGGAATAAAAAGCAAACAAAAAAGTCACTTTTTTGTTAACAGCAGTGTGAGGTGGGATGTTTTCAGTTTGCTCAGAGCTAGTTCCTGGCTGGAATGTCAGGAACATATAACAAGAGGTAAGGTCCATGTTCAAATCAATGCTAATCAACTTTCTAACTTCTTTAATGCCTGGAACAGAGAGAAAACAAAACTGAAAAAAAAACCAAACAGCAACTCTGTGATAAACAATGTACCTGGGTATTGTTTTTTCTTTCATGTGATCAAATTCATGTGAACAAATGCTACTTGTTTTTTCAGGGTGGGGTGTGGTGGTAATATTCACTGATACTGGCAGTTTTTGTTTAATTCTGTGGTGAGCGGCTATAAGTAGTTGCGTTCAGATTTGAAACTTCTATGGTGTTTTTTCTTTGGTTGTTGTTTGTTTGCTTTTTTGAGGTGTTTTTGTTGTTGTGTTTGGCGGTGTGGGTGTTTTTTGTTTGTTTGTTTGTTTGTTTTTATAATACTAGTTCATAATATCACTTAAATAAATAAATTCAGGAAATTATGAGCACTTCTAGCACAAGCTGTTGCCCAAAATGGCAGCTTGAACAAGCAAAGAAAGTGTTATAGAGATGAATTTATTAAAAAAAAAAAAGAAGGAAAAAAAGGTTAAAATGTCAAGGTGTTATTACATTTAGAGGTTTGCATTTTCATTAAAAATGAACATAGAGGTTGCACTAGTTTCACTAGAAAGTAGTGTTTCTAAGCAAATTAGTTAAAGCCGTTTAGAGAACTAAATATGACTGCGGGAGGATAATTTTAGTGTCTAATGTCACACAGTCATGCCAAGCTAATTTTATTCTCTCTTTTCCCCTTTTAACTCAATGCATTCATATAAAATCAAGATAACTTACTTTCCCCCTTTACAAATATATATATAGAGAGAGTGGTATATATATTGTATATTAATATAAATATTCATATAGATAGAAACCTGTAATACTAAAATGCAGTAACGTATTTAATACAGTAAAGTATCTAAAATATATATTGACTGGGAGGAGGGAACAAAAATAAATGTCAATTTGAACTGTTGATTCCTTTCTTTTGGACGTTGTGTGTCTGGTAACATCTCTAACTTTCTACCAAACTGTTTTAACATATTTAAGGTGTAAACTAAAAGAAATCAGTTATGTGTTCTGACATGGACAGTCATATAATGCCCATTGATGCATTCTCCATTTAAGTAACTTACGTATTATTATTTGTGCTATAACAGAAACTAAAGCATGCTTTGTTTTGTTTTAAATTTAAAGGCTCTGTTATGGTAAATATTGCCTGTATATATTGATATGGGAGAAGCAGAGATAATCTATTCCTTGTGAATATTAAAAAAGGGATTGTAATGGTTTTTCATGGACATTCTCAATTTTTAGACCCTGTCTATTATCAGAGGTATGATCTGAATAGTAGAAGATACAAAGTGTAGGATTGCTAAAAAATATTTTTCTTGACTTTTTTTCAACTAACAATAGCCAACTTTTAATTTCCCTTTTTCTCTGGAAAACTCATCTGAGTTTTTGTCATTTTTAGTGCTCTCTTACCCCTCAAAATAAGAATCATTGCTTCTGGTATCATTGATAGAACATTATAGTACAGGAAGCATAAAGACAAACATCTGTCCAAAGTAGTCATTAAATGATCATTACTTTCTTGCTAAGTAGGGTCATAGTGACTTTGAATGTAAGCTGCAGGATATGAGTATTGCCACACCAAAACAGGCTATACCAAGGAAGAAATTACCAACAGAAAATTTCATTGTACAGCATAGACTGGTGTTTTTGTTTGGGGTCTTTTTTCTTTTTTTGTTGTTGTTGGTTGGTTGGGGTTTTTTTGGTGGTTTTTTTTTTTTTCCCCAATGAACTTGGAAAAGGTTTTATTATTTAGCCATCTCTGTCAGAAATCGTTGCTACTGTAAGAAGGCAAACGTTTCACTAGACTGATGGATGCGCTTGTAAGAAAAAGATGGTATAGCAGCTTTGTTTTTAGTAATGATATCCTATTTTTTACTTAACACTGTTTTATATAGAAAAAAACCACCTATTCTTTCTCTGTGTTTTATCAAGAGCTGTGATTCTCAGAAAGTAAATGTAGAGCCTAATGAACATTCAGCCACAAAGACTGGTTGCTATATAGCACTTAATCAGAGCAGCAGCAAAATTGTATGTGAGGCTGTAAGGGAAGTTGTAATATCTACAGACACAGCAAAACAAGCTAGGGACAAAACAAGGTCTGATCAAGTACAGCTTCACCCTCTGCCTTCGATTTCTGTTTCTACTGCTGAATGAAGTCAAATGCAAAGGTTTTTGTGAATGTTTACTTTACATTGTGTACATTTCAGTTGTAACTGTTAACGTAAATCGCTGGATTCTCCAAAGAGATGATTACTGCTTATATATACTTGCAGCAGGTGCATGTGCATATAACCCAGTGAGTTTGGGCTCACAAGCCTGTATGACTGCATAAACCAAGGACCCAGACCACAGCCATCACCTCCCTGCAATAGAGGCCACAAACAGGGTACGGTCTGCAAGCATCTCTCTGCAGCTTTTGATCACCTCTCCTGACTTCCAAATGCTGTATTTCACAGTCTGGCTCCCTGTGGGGCTGCATGAGAGCAAGGAGTTGGCTGTGGTGATAGGAGGGAGAAGACTTGCCTTTGTTTTTGTTTAAAATCACATCGGGGCTGCAGTTTTGAAACCACAGGAGAGGCCTTTCTTTTGTGACAGATGTGGATCACATAATGGCTTTTTATAATATTGAGTGACACTATTAAGAATTTGGTTTCTAAAGTTCAAGTAGATGTTGTTTGTGATGGAGAAAATTCAGTAACACTGTGCAGATGCTGTCCTTAACCTGGTCCTGCTTTATGTCCTTGAAGAGTTTATGTGGAGAAGGTTAAACTTAATTGTAAAGAGTCAGATGAGAAATATGTGAGGAATCTGCTGAATTACTCTTCTAACTACAATGCTATATTTTAATCTAAAGCAACTCTTTCTGTTAGGCATTCATACATCCTAGCAAGTAAGGTAGAAGGGCATTTGTTGATCCTGGAACAAGCAGGCAGTACAGGTGTGAGGAATCTGCTGAATTACTCTTCTAACTACAATGCTATATTTTAATCTAAAGCAACTCTTTCTGTTAGGCATTCGTACATCCTAGCAAGTAAGGTAGAAGGGCATTTGTTGATCCTGGAACAAGCAGGCAGTACAGGGAAGAGAATAACAGCCCTCAGCACAGCATGAGGAAAACAGCAAAACAATCAAGCTGTAGTGATGGGTGATTTCAATTTCCCAATATGAACTGGAAAAACTGAAAACCATGGCACAATGAAAAATAAAATTATAGAAGAAATAAAAAGTTATTGACCTGTGGTGTCAGGATCCTAACAGGACTTGTCCTCTCCAATCTCAGCAAAAATGTAGTTAGTAGATTAGAAACAACAGAGCTACCTGGTTCAAGTGACCCCATGATTAAACTCAATATAACTTAGAACACTAAGCTAAATATATCAAAAGCACAATATGAATTCTCAAAGGTCTACATTAAAGGTACATGGAAAAAGCCCTGTGAGAAATGGGTAAAGAAACAATAATGGGAGACACTTTTTGTGAAGAATAAAGGGTTTTCTGACATTTCCAAGGTGAAGTATTTGGGGGAAAGAAAGATAATGATGTGATTATGGGAAATTCATTCCTGCAGTCTGACTATTGTACTCTCTTTAAACTCTTAATTTAATAAATGTGTTCCATTACTGAATTCCTGCTAAAATTGTTGTGTAAGAGCTATAGCTGCAGCCATACCGGGGAGATTGGAGGCAGCAATAATTTTCTATTCATATTCATTTGATAACCATAGAAGGGTTGCTTAGGAGATGGGTATTCCTCCATTAAGTGATTTAACCTCAGTTCTTGGCTGCAACGAGGAACAGTCTTTATAAAGTTTTCTGGTTTATTGTTCTGACATCACAGAAAAATAGATAAGCAACTAGGGTTTAAGCTAGAGAGAAACTGATGCTTCTAGAGATGCACTGGACATGGTTATGCAGCTGTGGTATTTATACATTTCTGTGATGTCTCTGCTAAAATGAAATCATTATCAGTACAGACACTTGAACCATCTCTGGTTAGGTTTTCAACTTAGTACACTGTATGTGGTGTGAATTTGTCTTAAAACCAGCCAGGTAGTCATACTTCTTCAAATAATTTGAATTTTTGTGTTTTTTCTTTGCCCCTGCAATTCAAGCATCTAATTGGACCAAACATTCCAACAATGATTTAAAATAGAGAGACTAGTGTGAATTTTGTGACAAGAATAGATGAAGTGGCAAACTGTATAATTGTAGAAGATACTATCGGGTACTGTATTTTTCCCTTGTCCCACTTTACCCACCTGATTCAATGAGAAAAATCATAGCCCTCGTGGAAAACTATTTGGAGCAAAAAAAAGGTAATTCTTAGAATGCTTAGAATTCAGGTAAAGCCACAACCTCTTTCCATTTCTATATACTGTTATGTCATGTAGAAAAGACAAAACCAGACATAATTTGATGTAAGTGGGAAGAACTCTAGAATGACTGTGAAGAAAAATGTTACTGATGCTAATCTTTGCAAAGCCAATATTTTTGTAATTGGCATCTAATAATGTCTGTAATTTAAACAAAAACAGCAGTTTCCCATAAGCATTTTTAACTTTTTAAATTTAAAATAGCGCACCACTTATAGAAAGGTTGGCAAATGCTTTGAAGCATTCATATTCTGCTGTGAGACTTCTATTTATGATCAAGATAAAATAAATTTCACAGATTATAAAACTCCCTGTTGCTGAGGTACCTCCTTATAGCTTGTCCTACGTTTAAGTGAGCGTGGGCTGAGGGTTTCTTTGTGGT